TTGATAATGTAAGTGTAAGGAGCGGCTGTAGAACGGGGGTGATAGAGGTGGTATGATTTGTGGTATAGTTTTGCGAGGAGGGTGAAAGGTGGAATCAGGACGAAGGTGAGTAAAATTGTATTCAAGGGTGGTTCTTAATAGAGAATTTACGGTATTCTAAAAGAACTTGATAAAATCTAAGATTGCCAATTAAAGCTAATAAGGAAAAAATGTTCAACTTAGCCACGGATTTAGGAAGCTTTGTACTAAGCTTTGACCACTTACTGCTATCGTAATCACACTACGATCTCCCTGTTATCTATAGGTCGCCGTTGACAATACCGTGACCTAGTGTTTCAGTAAAAGCGGACTCAAACGAGAGCCCCATGGCCAATTAATCAGGTTCCACAAGATGCAAACATCTCATGACGTCATAGTTCACTTCTGCTTTTCCTATTTTTGTCAGTGAGATCATGAGTTTTCTAATAGTGCTATTCCTTCCGTTAAGCTGACACCATGTTCGCAAAGTTTTACGGCAGCGTTCTTCGTCATCTTGTTCCTCCTCTGATATGTTGTCAATTTGTCCAGCTCTGAGCTCGAGCTCTCTTGCAAGTCTTTTCCACGATGAACACACTTTTTCTGACACCTTGTTGATCACTTCACTACTTTCTACTAGAGCTGTGTTAACCTTTTGACGTGCTGTGGAGAAAAGAATAACATATGATTAATTAGAAATTATTGGATTCGGCTATCTTATATTCTAAAAAATTATGCAAATCAAGGGGGCGGTACCCCTCCCCTCCCCCTTCCCCCCCAGATACACCCTAGCTACTCTTAATTTGCGTGCTCCTCGGTAAATTCAGAATAAAAAGAGATTGTATAGTGGCAAGAGCCGAATTGTATGCTTTCACTTTTTGCTATGTTTTAGACAAACATTCGGCATTTTTTCGCAAGACGTGTGAAATATTCCAAGTCTGTCCGAAACAGCTGTTCACATACAACCTTTACTTTACTTTATTGAACTCGATCGCCATAGTGACTCAACCCCTTCATTACCCACCCAGCCCGTGAAAGGTTGTACCACACCACCGGGGTCTACGTCCCCTACTCTTTGCAAACAGCAGTGTGGGTTCTTTTACGTCCCACAAGAATCAGAACAGTGAAAGAGCTGTGGGACGGAGCCAACGGTTTTTCGTCCTTATCCGAGAAGACCAAAGGCTTCTTGGTTGCCGTACATGTTCTGGCGATAGCCTGCATTCTACGGAAGTGTCTAGTACACGTGAGCGGAAGTAATATTTTTCCCGACAAGCATCTATGACAGATACCACGATGGCGACGCTTCGAAACCTTTATAGAAGTTACGTTTTGCAAAACATGTTACCTTTCTGAAGACGTTCAATAACATGTAAAAATCCTTCGTTGCTCGCCTCTCGAAGTGTACTCACAACGGCCTCAAAACATTTATCTTGGCTGTTAGGACCCAGCCCTGCTACAACCTGCAAAAGACTCCTTAGTGCTTGTTTGGGTGTCCTACAGCCACTGTTGAGGTGGATGAAGTGTTCTTCGTATGTATCATGAGATAAAAACGGTCTGCACGCTGAAAGTACATAGTTCGGATCAGCATCCAATAGCGTTTGGTCATTTAGAGGCACGCCGAAAAATTCTACTGGAGTTTTCTGCAAAGTAAATAAAAAAAAGAAGAGAGGTCAAGGCACGAACACCATCACTGAGTGACAGAAAAGCTATTTCACAATTTAATAGCCTGTGAAAAAGCTCTATCGTGAGAAGTCACCCGCAAGCGGCACGCGAGAGGACACTTCCTTCGCGTTCACAAGCGTCTCGTTTCGCTCGCCACTCGAAATAGAGTTCTTGCTGGCAGGCTAACAATAGACGCACCGCTTCATATTCTTTTCCTTTATGCAATCTTATGGATGGGAAATTCTATGACGTTTTTACTACATTGTAATGGGACGGTTTTGGTGGTAAGTTGAGTGGAGATGGAGAGGTTGAATCGTTCGTGTGTGAAACATCTAAAACGTTGGAATATACCGATCAATTATGATACTGCCCTAAAAAAATTAAGCCTTTAAATTGAATGCTTATCTTAAACCCAGTTCAGTGAGCATAATTCCTCCAAGGACCCTGTGTCTCGCATGAAGAGATAATTGAGATGTGTCGCATAAAGCTGTAAATGGCCTGATAAATAGGGAAAACACGGGGTACGCTGCGTTTTTGTGCGTAGTACTCACCGTGAGATCAAGTTTCATTGAAGACAATCTGAAGTTCAATCTGGACAATAGGTTCTTCGCGTTGGGATCCGGGCTGCTGCGAAACTCCACATGGGATAAAACTTGGTCACTTATCAAACGAACTGGCAGTTGCTTTTTGTCACGGTGATCGCTCTCAAACCTGAAAGGATATGTAAATGAAGTAAAATAAGTTTATCCCACTGATGCACAATTGAGCCTTAATTTCAAGAAGTGTTGGTGTTTTTTCTTTCAAGATGTGTAGAAATTCTCGGGTGCTTATGGGTCAAAAGCGTAACAGCAATTGGAACTAAAAATATTTGAATGCTGTCTCTCCTTTTTTTAGCTAAATGTGCATGACTTCAGACGACGCGCTTAACTAATAGTTTTAGTGTTATTTTGAAAACAAGTACATATAGTTTTCTATTATGGACACAAAGTGAAAAATAACTTGCAACGAAACCTTTTCGTCCATTTGTGACACAATCTAAAGTCAGTAATGTTGCATTATGTTTGCACTTCAAACCCCGTGCCTTTATTCAAAATATTAAGTCACTAAACGATAACAAGACTGAAATAAAGACGCTGTTAAACTGGACAAGTTTTCTGCNGTGTTTTTTCTTTCAAGATGTGTAGAAATTCTCGGGTGCTTATGGGTCAAAAGCGTAACAGCAATTGGAACTAAAAATATTTGAATGCTGTCTCTCCTTTTTTTAGCTAAATGTGCATGACTTCAGACGACGCGCTTAACTAATAGTTTTAGTGTTATTTTGAAAACAAGTACATATAGTTTTCTATTATGGACACAAAGTGAAAAATAACTTGCAACGAAACCTTTTCGTCCATTTGTGACACAATCTAAAGTCAGTAATGTTGCATTATGTTTGCACTTCAAACCCCGTGCCTTTATTCAAAATATTAAGTCACTAAACGATAACAAGACTGAAATAAAGACGCTGTTAAACTGGACAAGTTTTCTGCGAGACACTCAGAAAAGCACACCCTGCTACGAGGGCTCGCTGCAAAAAATCCGTAGCGAGACATGTTCATTTCGGGAGAAATTAGACTAATTAGGGGGCTTGTGGAAAGGCCTTTTTGAGCGACCCACGTCAACCGGAAGTGGACTTTTTTCAGTCTTGGGTAGTGGTTTTGCCCAGGTTTTCGGGAAAATCGTCTCTAAAGGAGTAAAGACACTTGGCAATACAAATTTTGTACCGTCAAGGCATATTCCAAAGGAAAACGGCCTGACTTCCGGTTGACCTGCGTCGCTCAAAAACCTGCCTTGTGTAACAGCGCCCGTACATACATGAGATGGAAATCTTCCATGTCTTCTATTTCAGCTAGGGTTATTCCTCCGGATACAAACACGAATGCTTTGTCATGCCCCGGTATCAGCTTTTTCTGTGAATTTTCCTCACTTGGAACCACGTTTGCGTTTTCTAGCTCTTGGACTACTCTTTCTCTCATGTGCGCTGGGCAGCAGATAAGATGGAGAACATCTTGAGAATAAGCACGATCTAATTCATTGAAATAGGAGAAGAAAACGCCAAGTAATGGCTGCTTCCAAATAAGGCTTGTCAAGTACGTTATTACTCCAGAAACGCTGACGTCCTCTTTGTACCATTCAAAAACGCAAGTGTATCTAAAAGAGACATAGAGGGGAAATTGAATTACTTTTGCAGACAGAATGATTTTGACTTTGAATTGCACAGCTAAAAGACGCGAGTTGATATATCTTCATTACTTAAATACCACTTTAAAACTATGGGGATACACTAAGGCGGTTAATCAGCTGACTCAAACTTAATTTAACGAGAGAAAAACATTACTAAGTACTACACACAAAACTACAAACTAAAAGCACACATAAGCTATACACAGTATAAAAGCTATGCAAAAAATAAGTATTATCAGAATTTAAAAAGGTTAAAAAGAGTAACAATAAGCTCATAGTAGCTCATAGTAGCTTAGTATTCCAACAGTTTCAATGTATGCTAACTTGCATTAGCATAACCAAAAGTTCAGTTTACCTCCAATTCATTAACAACAAAACAACTACAACATTTGGACGTCTTCTTACCCAGAGAAGCGTTCTACCTGGAACCTAACAAATGTCCCGTCAAAATGTACAGGACATTTAAGACCATCTGTGATTTCCATCCATTTTTTTTCTTCGTCATCAGAATTTAAGAACAATACTCTGACACGGCATGTCGAGGGGACTGGAATCTTTTCCTGGTCGCTGCGAAGAGACACTGGCAACTGAATCGTGACGGGCTTCGAGAATTCGACGATTTGGGAACAGCAGACACGCAGTATTGGTCCAAGAAACACGTCTTGGTCTTTAAATTCTTCACCTGGAACTTCTTGCACCTAAAGGGATAATAGAAAACACAACTAAATTAACCTGAACTTACTGTCAGATTTGCTGCCATTTTTTCGAGTTTTAGAGGAAAAAAGAGACCATTTTCTCAAGGAACACCATATCCGGTGGAGACTATAGCAAAACCTTATCTATCTGACAACGCAATAGTCTCCACATGACAAAAACACTTTTTATGAGCCTAATTTCACTCATCTAACGTCTGCTGTATTCTTACATTTCTGTCGAGTTTGGAGACCTGGTAAGAGTTATCCTTAGAAACATTAACTGGTCATGTAACCACAGCAAGAAAAGATCTGGAGATAATTCATACCGTCCTACCTTCAATACCAGAGGAATGTTTGCTTCAGGTGTCACAGCATTCTCAGGGATTGTAACTGTCACGCGTGGATAGTCAGGATGGCTAAAGGAGCCACCGTTGGATGTGATGGCGTACGCTGGAGAAGGCTTGCGACGACAAACAACTGCGTATGTTGAGCACTCAGTTATGTCAGCTTGAGCAACGGGAAAGAAAAATTCCGGTACATCCCGCGGGTGAGGCGAGAAGTCCTCTTCGACCGCTGTAAACAATTCAGAGTGGAAAGACTATAAGCCGTTGTGACTTCTGTAAATATACAAACTGCGTGTAGTAAACGTAAAACATTGAACAGACAGCATTTCACAGGTGAAGACATACTTTAAACAGTGGGTAAATACTATGGGTAGGCTGCTCTTCAAAAAGCATCAGTTTCCAAACCTTTAAGACACTGTAATGCCTTAGTTCCATCCACTTCTTCCCATTCATTGCTTTCCCAATCGATCAGCTTCTTTATCACTAGTTCGTAGCCCTGCAAATCAGGCGCACTGTGAGAAAGAACAAGCTTCGCTTTGGCGTCGAATTTCAGTTCATCGCCAGTTTTGGTTGATATCTCAATAACATTACTGACAACTGACTCGTGCTCTTGCAGTGGGGGAGAACGTGCACTGCATTTCCACCTGTGGGCCACTATTGATGTGGGCTGAGACACAGCGTTAGGGGGAAAGAAAACGTGGGTGCTCCCTCGTTTAAGGGCCCAATGGGTACCTTCACTGGTGATTGTTCCTCTGAAATAAATTATTAAAACATTAATTAATCGAAACCCGTTTTTAAATAATCGTATACCAGGCAAGCCACGCACGGTATTGAGGTTGTGCGATATCCAGTTTCCAGGACAGGATTGTGCCCGCAAAATTATCTTATTTGCCGTAAAAGACTCCAAAAGTGTTCACTTGATCTAGGTTCGTTTTCACTGAGGCTTCTGTCAGCTTAATTCAGGGTGTCAATGATATCCATGATATTAACGGTATACAAGATATTTTAGAAGTACAGTATGGTATTTTATAATTTAATTAGCAATTATTTAATGAGGCTGAGTAAGATGTGAAGA